ATATAGGGTATTGGTTGTGTTGGTACTTGTACGGAATCAATGACATGAAGAATTCTTCCAACTCTGGGATAAACTCAATACATGTCATTAGCTCCTACATGTGCTTTATGGTCTTAAACAAAGCTAAAACACAATCTTCTGGCCACATCTGACAGCACCAGCATTATATTATAATTCTGTTAGAGAGCTCTATCGCCATCTGTTGAAAAGTGAAGAGTTTCTTGATAACTTCGCAACATTTAAAAACTCACAATTGGAAAAAAAGCTTCTATTGTTTGAGATGTTGTAAATGAGGAATATATAAAATCTTCACAGACGGTGGAGGAGTTGTGTCAGGTTTGTACAGATCGCTCGTCCAGCCTCTCTGAGCCGTCCTGCCTTGACTTTCCCCTGTAAACAAGGACAATTACCGAGCTAATGAGTTGAGAGGAAAAAAAAATGTGTGAGTGATTGATACTCTCTACGGGGAAATTAATTTGATATTAATAGAGCACTTGGCAAGATAAATAGATAGTGGTGTGTGAGTCCTCTCCTTGATTGATAATGGATAGATTGATGGCTGTCTTAATGCAAGACGTTCCTGAGACTTAAATGAGGTGGCCTTGATGAGCAGAGACTTGATGATCAAGTTTTGGGAGCATTATGAGGCTGAAATTCTCGACGAGTCAGATGCAAATTACATGATAACATCAATAAAAGTGAATATAGGGAATTTATAGTGATTTTAGCATATTTAAAAAACATCTAAATTAGTTGTATTTCAGATTTGTACTCGCTGCTAAATGATGCATGAGATTGAAACTCATTCTGGTCACACTGCTGGTCTGAGATGGTGTTAGAGAGCACAAGTGGCTCTTTAAATAATCAGCTCGTATCATTCCTGCATGGTCTCCATGATGCAGGAGACCAAGCTTTGATTGAAAAATTACATTAATGATTGAAGGATAATCAAAATTGAAATTGATTATTTTCTGTCGATAAGCTTATCGATTAACCTGCTGATTATTTCAGTTCTAATCCTCTCACATACCCCTCAGGTTTATCTTGTGACCCTTTGATTAGCCTCAACCACGAGGTTGGGAACCACTGAATTAAAAAAGTAATGTGACGTACATGTTATCTGTGTAGATTGTCAGTCAACCAGGCTCTGGTATCTGGTATCAGGAGGTGAACATGGAAAGAGAACAACTCCAGCTGCCTTTGAGCACGTGTGCGACTGAAAACATACACATGGCCGTAATGCAACATGTTTCTGAGACTTAAATGAGTTGGCCTTGATGAGCAGAGACTTGGTGACCAAGTGTTGGGAGCATTATGAGGCTGAAATTCACTTTGGAGTTGATATTTAATGTGTCACACCTGAAGTTGGAGAGACGACTGGAGGCCTCAGATTCAATTTACATAATAACATTCATATTCAAGTGAATACAGGGGATTAATAGTGATTTTTTTACATATTTAGAAAACATCTTAAATGCATTTTAGCCATTTAGACTCTTACTTAATGCTAAATGATGCATGAGATGGAAACTCATTCAGCTGCTCTTCTGAGATTGTGTTTGCCTATAGTTTCACAAGTGGCTCTTTAAATGATCACCTGGCATCATTCCTGCAAGTTCTCCACGATGCACGAGACCCTGTAAGCCCCCCTCCCCCACTCTCCTGCTGCTTAATGATGCACTCAGAGTCTGATTGTAGCAGTGAGCAGAAGACGTCCAGCATATACATACATTACACCCTGTTACATGGGTCACTGCTGGAGAACAAAGAGCGAGAAGTTACTCCTTTCTCACTGTGTGTGTGTGTGTGTGTGTGTGTGTGGTTGTTGGATGGCTCTATAGTGACAGCGATTACACAGCTATCTCATCCCGCAGGCTCTCTCATACCTGACCAACTCAATCTCTCTGTCTCCTCAATAATCGGAGTGACAGCGAGCAACTCCACACATCTCACCCACTGCCTCACTGCAGAATGGGTATTGACCTACATATCAAATCATACGCTGCTGGATTCTGTGATAGAGGTTTGGTTGTGTGAGGAGGGTAAGGCTGTATGATAAGCAAGCCTATGATAGTAAACACATCGCATCCCCTGGGTTCCTGCCTCCTCATATATATATTTATTCTCTGTTAAAATACCACGTCTAAGGACAGAGTCTACAAGCTCGGAGGTTCCTGCCTCTTCAGCAGTGTTTCATGTGCTACTGTAACAGTAGAGAACAGCTGAGAACACCTGGTTGTCTGAGTGTGTATTTTTATTAACGAGCCCGTGTCACCAAACTTTTAACAAATGGCCCCCCGGCACCCCGACGCCCCGAAAAACCCAGCTCGGAAATTAAGCATCTGCATCATAAATCTTGGAAAGTTACAATAATTTGCAATTCACTCCCTCATCAAAGGCAATATTACCCTAATTTATTATCTCCCTGCACGAGGGGCGCGCAAAGGCCGTGGAGATAAGAGTTTATCAGGAGGGGGATTGATTTTCATTAACTGATTGTAATAAAGATGAACTGCCTGCCGTGCACACTGACCAAGAGCCACACTTTATTGTAATTGGGACGATTTATTTCATGAGCCAGTGGCTCTACCTTTTTGTGCCCCCTCCCCATTTCTTCTTTTTTTTTTCTCCTTTCATATCTGTCCCTGCTGCTCAAAACGTGGAGTCACAGCTGTATTCACTTCTGCTGCTACACCGACTGCACGAAGGTGATAATTATAATATAATAAAGGTGTGCAGAGGCAAGTCAACACATCAGATTTAGCTTCCGGTACCAAATTAATTCAACAGTTAAATAAAGTTGACTTATTATTATGAAAATGAGTTCCTTACAGCCTCTGACACCTGAACATTCAGAACGTCTGAGGTTCATGTGCAGCAGTTTGGTTTTTATGTTCTGTTCTCATCTTTTAAAAAAAGGTCCTGACACACACTACCAGTCAAAACTTTTACTATACTGAGTCTGAAAGTTAAGTCCAGTGAAATAACCTTAAATGATACGAAGGTGAACTCGGATTATTATGTAGGTTGACTTTCCTACCCCTGAAGAATGCTTGATGATTACTTACTGTCAGGGCAGGGCTGGAAGAACACGTCACTATATACTCTGGTGTATTAGCAGGATAATAAAGAACTACAGTACATTGTTTTCTGAATGGTGAGAAATTTTACATTTTTGTGTGAAATTCTGCAACAACATTTGAACATCACAAGTTTGTTCTGGATGTAGTTTAGATTTACTATAACAACTTGTTTTTAGAATCTTCACTATGCTTTCGTCCCAGAAACACTGAGATGTTGAATTATGTACATTTAAATTAAATGGGGGTTGGAGTAAAGGAGGTGTTCTTGAACCTTTGACCAGGAGTGTATGTGGCAGTCGCCTCTGCAGCGGAGCAGCATCAGCTGACCTGTTAACTGGTGAAGCCCTCCATCTTCAGAGTGACAGATAATCTATATCATCCTTCACACAGCAACACACAAGCTCCATATGAGGAGGAGATGGGAACATTTTCACCACCGCAGTGAAGGATGAATTGTAGGCTACCCAAACTGCCTCACACCATAAGCAACTGCTGCAAATACAGGAAATATCACATGTGAAAAATAAAAGCTTAAAGATGTGTAGCAGCGACCTGGTTATTCTTTAAAGGGCCATGACTTCATCATCATCATCATCGCTCGGCGTGGACGAGGCGTCAGTGATGGTTTCCGGGGTGACGAGCTGAAAGAGGCAAGGACATCCACATCCTTCAACTGTCAAGGTCCCGCACAGTGGAAGCATCTCCCCATGCAACGGCTCACCCTGTCTGTGCACGGTGGTACAGCACCTCACTCAACATCATCAGCGCCAGAAAACAAAACCAGTTTGAATTTTTATTGTAAAATTGGAAAAAAAGAAGAGAAAGAGAGAAAAGCCCCAATAAGCATTTTCATTTTGATACATATCTTTATCTTACCATAACCAGGAAATAAAACAAAAAAATAAAGTGGCCAAATAAATAATCAAATAAATAAATAAATAAAATAAATAAATAAATAGACATCAAGTTACATACTTGACTTGATAATCAAAATACAAAATTATTAAATCATTAATGATTAATATGAAGTAATCTAAGCAGCAAGTATTAAGAAATTTCAACAGGGGGAAGTTTGGTTTCTCAGGCTAATACAGAACACATAGGTTGGTTTTTTTTCCAAAGTTTTTTCGTCTTTTATAAAAAGATACTGCTTTCCCTGTCAGTTAATCCATGCTGTACTGACGCTGCCACAAAAACAGGTGGCGCTCTCCTTAAGAAAGAAAAGAAAAGAAAAGAATAAAACAATACAACCTGTAAACAGCATTTCTCCACCAGGTTTAAAAGAATAATACTGAGATTCTTCTTTCTGGTGCCGTGTGAATCGGCAAAGTTGACTTCACAGGCTCCTCGCTGCTGTTTATATGTTTTCGTACGCTTTGTGCTGAGAAACCAGAACGTTAAGATCTTTATAAAGCGAAAACCCTCCCCGCCCCCACCCACCCACCCCCCACCCCCACTTCAAAAAACCTAACCCTATATTTACCCAAAGAAAGGTCCTGTGCTGATTTTCCATAATATACAGATTTCATATTTATAATAAGCTACTATCCTTAGCATTCAAACCATAGTTAAAGAGTCATATTGTTAATACAAGAAGTACCACCATCGTAATCTTTAACCCTCCCTGCCCCCCACTGAGCATGCTCTGAGACTGAAAGGGCACCACGGCAGGATGACGACCATTTAAAAAAAAAAAATGATGGAAGTAAAAGTGAAAACAATGTAATGATGAATTGTTTCTATTTTTGAATGAGGATTTTCAGTCATTTCCTGAATTCCTGACATTTCATTACTTTTTTCCTGAACATAGCAGATACAGTATGTTTACTGTAAATAGGCTCATGTGCTACATACACAACTGCAAACTCACACAGGTTAGAAACGGTCTCCGTCCACAAAACCTACACATTTGTGCTCAATCAAATTGCTTTTTTTTCCTTTTTTTTTTTTTGGCAGAATTAAATTAACTCACCATCTTTTCAAACTCATTAAATTTCAGCCACAGCTGGCATCTTTAATTTGCATTACCCAAGCTGTTGTGAAGGCCAAATTTAATTTGATGTTAATAATTTAAAAAACTCTCCAGCAGAAATCCCATAAGAAAAGATTTTTGAGTGGGTTTATAAGGCTCTGCATGGCCTGGGGATGGGAGGGCATATATCACAGCTTCCTAAAGCTGCTGGACCCTGACAGCAGAGAGGAAACCGACGGTAACTCATGACGAGGGCGAGAGAAATAAAAAAAGCTGTCTCCTGGCAAATATATATGAAATCTCCCCTTTTGTATATCATTACAGTCTGGACTGACCCTCCCCCCTGCACTGTGATATGCTTCATCACAAAATCAAATAGTTGACTCTAATCATAAACATTTCCTGCAAAAGCAACACATTAATAAGTTATCTTAAAATTTCCAAGGAATCTGGCACATGTTTAAAGTCTAAAGGAGATGCAGTGGTTATGCTTTGCATAATTTGGCAATTTGTGATGAGAGAAGGCATTTCAAAAACTTTCTTCTCACAACTTCTAAGTATCGCCCGCAACAGAACAATATAAAGTGAGTGAGGGTAAAAGGTCAGCTAGTAAATGAGCTCAACCTCTCTAATAACACTGATCCAGTGAACCAGTAATAAAAAGAATGGCAGAGCCACAGTAAGATTAAAATAAGGGATAAAGGTGTCAGGACCATGGAAGTGGTTCTGTGGATAACATAACAGAGGAGAAGTCGCCGTGTTTTCTGACTCTGCTTGTGTGGACGGGGCCACAGAGACAAGTCACTTTGATCTGATGTATGTGAAGTTTAGAGCGGTGATCAGAGCACTGAGGTTGAACAGAGTCCTGAGTGACAAGCTGCTTCAAACTGAGCACATGAACGTGATGGGATGATGGGAAAAATATTTCAAACCTGGGTGAATGTTAACTGAAGACTTAAAATGGAAACCAAAAGAAAAAGGCCCAACAGGAAGAGCATCTTGTGAAAACCAGATTTCATCTCGGGATGTCCCTCGTCTCTTTGTAACGGCGTCGCCCCAGATGATGCGAGTTGAATTAATTAATCATGTGTGATATGGCGTGATGTGTCGTGACCACGCTGTACAGCAGCCATGTGTGATCGGTGCTAATGGTGAGCTGTCGTGTTGAAGCAGCAGCAGCTGTAGCAGCTACACTTAAAGGCCTGCCGCTGTCTAATTGATGGATCATTTTGTTCTTAATTTGACCTCCTAAGGCTGGTAATGCCAGGCTGTTCCTCGCCATGTACAAGCTCTTACTGTGCTATTATAGCCTTTGGAGAAAAAAACGTACAGCTGCTCCTCACTGAAGAACTTGTACAATCTATTCTAAACAAATATATACAGTTTCTGTCAGAGCCTTGTAAACCTCTGAACCTTTTTGTTTCTGTGAGATAATGACGTAGATTTAGGACCTGTCATCGTGTCCCGCAGGACCTGGTGCCTCTGTCAGGTCTGGGGTCCCCCACTGAGACTATGCATGATAGTAAGAGAGAGAGAGAGAGAGAGCGATAGAGAGAGAGAGACTCCCATCCAACCACAGAGAGAAGAATGAACTCTGTCACTCAGTCAATTCATTCAAAATGCCAATGTGTAATTGATTGTGCATCTCTTGCCCTGCGGTGCTGCTCCTCATCTGATCAATATTATCATTATCCTAATTATGCTGTGGGTGAGCTCTCAGGCCCTGTGAACTGATGGTCCCTATTAAGAGAGATATGCTGGCACTTGGAGGGGAGGGGGTGTGTGTGTGTGAGGAGACAGCGAGAGAGAGAGAGAGGGGAGGAGAGAGAGGAGGGGAGGCTGCGCTCGCCTGCTGAGAGCAGCTGGAGGTGCTTGGCAGCGGGAGAGGGCACGACCTGGCAGGGACCACTGTGACACGCCGATGGAAATTTTTTACAACTGCTGTCAGCCTCATTTGTATATTTTATTAAGCAGTTACAGATGCTGTGCTGCTTTACTGCAGCGCATCCAGCTCAGCCGGGTGGCACTTTTACCACAGCGCTTTATGGTCAGATTATCTGTAATATCAAGGTTTTAATGACGACACCGAACGACCCTTGTTTCTATTATGGGATTGCGATGTGCTGACGGGAACAGAGGGGGCAGCGTTACATGTTAACTTTGAGGGGGGGGGGGCGTTTATTGTGTCGCTTTTGGCACTGCAGGACTGTTTCCTCCCCCTTCCTCTGACACAATAACGCCGACAGATCACACCCCCGAGATGAAACGCTGCGATGCCGATGGAGCGATGAGTGGAACGTACCTGAACATGCCCGAAACAATTTCTAACCCACATATTCTACGCCACTAAAATAGTATAGCTTTATTTTTTATATTTTTTTCTGTTTTGCTTTAATATTCTCAAACCCAGTAGCTATAAATGCAAAAGGAAAAGAAACAAAAAACCCATTTCCTCTTTTTTTTTCAACCTGAAGCTAGTATTTCTTCTTAAGTTAACTTTTTAATATTATTAGTAGTAGTTTGTAGTATTAGTATCATTAATACTATATATTACTGTTCAGAACAATAAAAATGTTTGGTCCTTTGGTCCCTTAGGGGTGAAAGATCTGCAGTTCTACTGTTGCTAATGGAAACCTCAGTGACCTCCAAGAGTCATAGTTCTGCGCTTGCTGAGAGAAGGTGAGAGAATAAGAGAAAGAGGGAAAGAGAAAGAAAGTCTGTCAGTGGACGTATAGAACAGCTTCTTTTTTCCACTGTTTTTCTTGATCTTCAAGTTTTAACCCTCATTTGTCCAGTACAGTAAAAGCCACAAGCGCCTCTTTCCTTAGATATATGTGTATATAATATGTATATAGAAATCTATTTGTTGTTGCTGCTTTTTTGTTTGTTAGTTTGTTGCTTAATTAACAATTCAAGTCTCAACAAGAAAAAAAGTTCTGTTGTTCAGTCTCATTACATCTTTTTTCAGTGTTTTTTTTTCTTTTCGTCGTTCTTGCACTGTGCCATCTGTTACTGTAAAGTCCCCCGGTGAAGCGCCTCCTCCTCCTCCTCCTCTTTTCACATCTTCTTTTTCTGCCATAACCTATATCTTCATAAGTAAATGCTGATATGTCTTCAAAAATTCTGTATGTGTTGATTTTTTTAAAACATATTTTGCTGTCAAAGGAAAAAAAAGTTGAACTCCTCCGAGACATCTTCACGTGTCCTCTAAAACCTGCAAAAGAGAAAGAAAAGGCAATTTCAGATCTCACTGCTCATTAAACTGTCGATGCACAGATCCATGTCTTTAAACTTTGGATAGTTCAATATGGCTCTATTAGAACAGCGTAATGGTCTGGAGAGAGCTAACCCACACTGGCACAACAATCAATCTTTGTCAATCACCACCATGACAGATTTCCCCATAATTAATATGCCTGCTGTGCTGCATATGAAATGAACTCTTACAGCTTCTATAGTGTCTGCAGACTCTACAGCTCCGGACAACCTTTAGGGGTTTTTACTTTATATTTACCTAACATACAGTATAATTAATAGTTGCAGTATCTAAGACTAGCATAGCACTAGGAAGAGTGCGTATATGACAGATGAAGATAGTCATATGAAAATAAATATGGATATTTTGGTGTCTTTTAATCGATTCAAACCTTATATATAGTTTGCATGATCCCATTTCCTTTTATTTTATATCTACTATCACAACCACATATATCTAAAGTTCTTATATATTTACTACAATGAGGGGAAAAAAGTGTTTGGATTGTCAGGGCCACACGATCATAAATATGTCAGACATCCATATCCAGACATTATTTCCTGTGAAAAATAATTTCTCAATTCGATAGGAAAGTGATGAAAAAACATTTCTGGCTGTGCATCCACCCCAAATTTTAACAGCCTCTCCTCCCTGGCCCATGCTCCAACTTTGATGCAAATCAATTGAGTTACATTCTGTGTCACCCTGCCGACAAACAAACCTCCACGGCAGAGGAAAAAGCTGTAGCTCCTCAAGCCATCACAAGAAGAGGAAATTATAAAGTCTGGCCTTCGATACGCCAGACAAAGACACTCTTAAAACCAGCTGAGGATCCAAATCCTCAACCAGTGATGCTGTATTGACACTCACCTGTGCTGCTGCAATGAATACTGAAGGTAGGCTGTGTCAGTAAGGGCGGCTGGCATCCTTCGGTCTCTTTAGCTGAACTTTCAACCTCTTCATCCCGATCTGAAAGCCATTCATCGCTTGAATAGCTGCCTGTGCACTAGCAGGGTTGTCGAAGCTCACGAAACCTGGGAAGAAACACAAAATAATTCACTTTATTGAGAATTAGGTAATTATGAGTTTTCAATTGATGAATATGATAAATAACAACTTTTGTAACTATTTAAAAGATTATATTTTCTGCAATATGCTTTTTGATCACCATCGCCTACGTGTCTGTCTCCTGAGGGAATCTAGATGGCGCTGTTGAAACAGGCTGCAGGTAGAGAATTCTCAAAGCCAGTGACATGCTTTAAATTTGTTTTAAAAACAAATCTTTCCAGTTTGTTCGTTAAAAGAGTTCAGTTTTCTCCACCGTGTAACCTAAAGTGTTAGAAATGGTGCTTGCTGCACACCCTCTTATTAAGTTCCAGCTTAAATAACAGACCATGGTGGGACTCTAAGTGCAACAAGTGTGAGGAGGTTACTGTCTAAAAGCATCCCTGTCTGAATGTTGTCTCCTGGTTGACAGTTTTTGTCTGGAAGAGATGTAATATCAAACTGCTCTGTTTTCCCACTGAGAGGGAGAGGAAAACAGAGGCAGAATGTTAAAGGTAAGAAAGATGAGAACACAGATTTAAAGAAGGAATATAACACGATGAATTCTAGTTAAATATGTTGCTTTTGTAATGAATAGACAGAAGGAAATATGAATTTATTGATGATAGCAGTGAGAACATCTTTATTTGTTAAATCTGACTACTTCTCTTATGCAGCTGCTTTCTGTAAAAATGTTTGATAGCACAGTGCAATCAGTGCAGTGACCACGTCATCCCTCTAAATATCTGCTCTTCATTTTATTCATATCCTCATCAGGATATCTTTTTTAAACCCTAAGGAAGCTCAATATACATAAATGAATGAAAGTAGTTCAAGCAAAACAAGAGCAAACACAGTTCATCATGAGGAGACAAGTCTGTTGCAGACACGAAAACCCCTCAGAGCATTTCCCCAAAATACTCCCCTTCCCAAACCTATGCTGAACATCCAGTTTCCATCATGTGTAAAAATAAAGCCCCGAGAATCCAGTGACCAGAAACTGCAGTGGAGTGTGTCTCCGCTTGATGCGCTCCCCTGTGTCTGTGGTGTCATTAGGAAAAGTCGATGACCCACGAAAAGCAGAAAAACATGAGTCTCTCCACGTCCACCGCCACCTGGGGGAGATGTCTGGCTGGCCTGCTTGGCTCGGAGTCGGCCCATTAGGGTGAAGCCTGGGCGGCTTGGAAAGGGGCTGAACGGAAGTCTGAAGAAAGTACAGAGGCAGGGAAAAGGAGGTGACCTCCTAACCCACCAGCGGGTTAACACATTCGCGCTGGGGAGCAGAGATGAGATGGAGGGGTGATGCAAGCTTACAGCTCTAAGCCCTCAGCTCAGTCCTGTCACACATTACAAGTGTGCTTCCTCTCTTTCTCTGTGATTCCCAGTCTTTTACACACCATCAATCCAAGTTTATCCCCTCTTCCTCTTTTCTAGATTAATTACACCAGTGTACTACCTCATTCCCCAGGCCTAACATTATGTTGTAAATGCAAAGTGTATAAGTCAATACTGCAAATAGCTTTTCTTTCATGAATTTATATGTTATTAAGTCCCCCCAGGGAGTCAGGATCAGCAATCAATTTTGCCCAGGGTTCTATGGCTCCCTGAAGTGAAGACAAATGCTGATCCATAATTGTCCTTTGCCTTCCTTCCCCCCTGACATCCCTGCCTGCCTGCTCAAACTTTCTCTAAGCCCTGCAGCTTCCTGGTGTGCGGAGGCTGACAGAGCTAAATGGGACAGGGAGGTGTGGCGGTGTGTAAATCAGCCTCCGCAGTGAGGGTATTGACAGATATTGGGGTTACAGAACGGTAATGTTGATGCTGATACAGCACCTCAAGGTTTCCAGGTCACACAGCTGCCAAACAGAAACAAGGACACGGACTGTGATCGACTGCATCATGGCGAGTTTGGCTACAATGTACTCAGCACATTTTTTTTCACTGTGCTGATACCAAAACACAACTGTCATCAAGATGCAAATTCAGGTCAGTCAGTCAGGGCTCTGACACACACATGCACCCACGTGCGCGTGCACACAGACACACACACAATAAAAGTTTTTGCAGTCTCAGTCTGATCTCTTGTAGTTCAATTATATGTAAAATATACACAGGCACATTGCAGATTTCCCCTGTGTGTCTCTCTAGAGACCTGTGCACCTGGACCTGCCATCATTTTATCTTTATGTGAAATGCAAAAATACCCTGAGAAAAAATCTTTCAAAGCATTTTCCAAGAAAAGTTCCGAAAAAATGTACAGAAGTTGTAAAAGACAGTTAGAGAGTAGAAGAATAACACACCGAAACACTTGCTCTGGTTGGTTGCCCTATCCATGAAGACCTTAGAGGAGATGACGGTGCCGAAGGGCAAAAACATCTGCATGAGTTCATTGTCTCCAAACTCCTGTGGCAGGTGGTAGATGAACAGGTTGCAACCCTCCGGACCTGGGAACAGACAGAGAGACAGAGAGAGACAGAGGGAGAGGGATAGAGATGTGAATATGGTGTTTTCATCTGTGCATGCTCGCTCACATTGATTAAATTAAGATAGTGGAAACAGATTTCCAGGATGTCTGTTACATTATCAGTGATAAAACATTACTGTTGTTGAACACACAAGAATAAATTGAAAAGTTCTTAACTTACTGTTACTGTATGGATATTCAGAATTAATTAAAAATTTCTATTGACAAATGTGGATATGAATATCATTCAATTTATTTTGGAAATGCACATACACATACACATATATTAATACATATATACAATACATTGTAATTATCTTTGCCAAGGACGTTATGTTTTTGTCCTCATTTTTTGGTTTCTTTGATATTTAGCAGGATTATGCTACGGAACTCAGTGGAAGGATGAAGTGTGGGTCAGGAAAGAAATCATAACATTTCGTGCAAATGCAGATCAGGGGGCAGATCCACATTTAGTTTTTTTTGTGAGTATTTTTTTACCAATGTCACTGACGTTAAGGGGACTGATATTTCTGAGTGTGTACAATTTGATGCAGATCCAAATAAAAATCTCCATCTAGTGAATTTGAATGTGGACCTTGGCGAAGGTATGAACTCTACTGAGTGACATTCTCATTATGAAATATAATTTTCATTAATTTATCTATCTGGGTTAAATTGCTATTTTCTGTCAGCTAATAATTTGACAGTAAAAGCTTTTATTAATGCTTATGAAAAGAAGCACAGGCAATTGTAGATAATATATAACCTAATTTCAAGATACATACTGTATATACATTATGTTGTAATAACCTTATTCTTTGGTCATCATGCTTTATGGCCTAAAATGAGATGTGAAGTGCGTTCAGTAATACTGTTCTCTCAGCCGCTCCACTTTATTTATCTATTAGAGAGAATGAGATGTGTACGGCGTTAAAGTAATACTGCTCTCTCAGCCACACATCCTTTATGTATGTATTTCACAGAATGAGGTGAGTGTTCAATGTAGAGGCAATATTGGTCCGTCATACTCATCTGCTTTATATATCCATTACACAGGATGAGATGTATGAAGTGCAAAAGTAATAATGTTCTCTCACCCTCACCTTCTCTCTGCTGCTGCTGCTGGATGACCTGGGGTGGTTGGGGCAGTGTCTGGCCAATGGGAGTCAGTGTGGTGGCCGGGTAGATCGCTGCGTAGAGGTGGCGAGAGGGAGAGAGAAGAAGAGGAGGGAGGAAGAATGAAGGAGAAGGAGGGGGGTGTTAAAACGGCGATCCAACAGGGGAAGGTGTCAAGGATGCTTGAGGTCGATCACACAAGCATAACATGTAATCAAAGTCTCTGGGATGTTATGGTCTAAGGGCAGTGTCCAACATTATCTACTCTCTGTCTCACACAGTAAACATGCCCGAGCTGCTTTTCATTTAGCATTAACAGCACACTGTAAAAAAACGCAGGAATACCACATAGTACACAGAGTGTTCCTGGCTCTCACCTGTGTATTGCTGTACTCCGGTGAAGGCTTGCTGCAGGGTGTCCGCAGCGGTGGGGCTCTGGGTGGAGTAGGGCGGCAGGCCATTGGTGTACATGGTCTCCACGGCAGGATGTCCGTTGGGCTGATGGGGGATGCCGGTGAATCCGTTGACGATGGGCGTGACGATGCTGGGCACGGCGGAGGTGGTGATGTTGGCTGGTGGAGAACTGAGGCCTGCAGGGGAAAAAAAAAAAAAAGGTCTGCTGTTACCAGATCAGGAGGGTTCCATCTACGTGGATCTACATGACACTGTTATAATGTGTTCAGACGTAGACAAAGTGTCCACATCGAAATGCTTTCCCACTGCATACAAAAACTAAAGACTTGCACACACACACACACACACACACACACACACACACACTCGCAGAAGCAGATAAAATACAAAGCACGCACAAGGCTCATGACCTGAAGCTACCATGCATCTCCTCTCTAATGCAAGGACACGGGTGTGACGTGAGTCTGTCGCATATCTGCCATTTGCTGTGACACATCCTGCAGGATAGCTGGGAAGTCAACCTGTGAAAAATGAGCCTGTCTGTAGTGTTTGTGCGATACCCTGCTGGCTCCCACTGCTCAAGATGATGAAACCACTATGCAACTTCTGAGAGGAAGGGGAAAAAAATAGAAGATGTGGACTAGATAGCAGGGGATTACAGATGGAGATTTGCTTGAATGAGCAGGTAGCAAAAACACAAAGATGCCTCTTACTTTTATACATCATAAAAAGACAAAATAACAACAGTTGGCAGTTTGACAAATGGGCGGGTCATAACATATATGGTACACGCCTGAAAGGCAGCAGCAGGAAGGTTCATGAGTGGAATCGAAATTGGATGCTCCCTGTCCTCTCTTGTTCAATGCATTTTAAAAGGACCCTCCTTTCGAAAGTGTTTCCAATTATGCCGGGAACGTCAAAGTACCCATTTTGAGCAGAGTCTCACTGTGTGATGGTCTCTCTGAAACGGCTGCTCCGTGGCAAAGCATCCAAGCTTGTTGAAGTACGGCTCCCCTGAGGACCACCTCTCAATCTGGAAACCCTCGCCCTGATTGGACAGAAAGCCCAGGTTGTCACGGAAACCCTCCGGCATGCCATATCCCCACAATCTGGTGCCTCGGTAAAGAACCCCCTGTGAGAGGTGGTCCAGAGAGGGTAAACAATCCCACCCAGTATATACCCATAACGTGTGCTGAAATGTATGCTAATATAACAGTAAATATGCTGCACATCACCACTCCCACCACTGAGTAATACCTCCTACATATCCATAAGGGATTGCTCTTCTCTCCTCACCTCTCTCTTCCCCTCGTCCTCTCCCTGCCTCAGCGTTTAAGTTATGAGGAAGCTGACAGTCAGGCCGACTGCTGCGGTGACCAGGGGAATAGCCCAGGTCCAATGAGAGCTGTTGTGTCTTTTGCACTGGTTTCCTTTTTTTTGAATCCTCCCCCGATTGCTTGTTTCCTGCGGAGCTGTGATGAATTAGACTGCAGCTTCAGCCCATTCTCCTACCGGGACCCAGGAGACTGCCGCTCCTATTCTGAGGACTAGAGACAGCTAGTCTGCTCGGGCCACACGCACACTACTGTACCGCCAGATAATGCACCCTCTCCATCATCAGGCAAATTCATTTTCCGAGGCTTAGCAGTGCTGCGGGAGTGTGCGTCTACGTATGTGTAGCCGTTCTAGCTGCGGTAGTAGTAGCGGCGGTAGTAGTAGGTGGTTGTGCAAACCCGTACATGAAATTACATAAGTTCTGGGGTCGGCAGTTGGACATAGCATCTGTGGAAGAGGAGATCTCGTGATGCGAGTAACAGACTGAAACCACTGATTCATGTTGGGTTATCACGCTGGAAATGTCACAGCAGGGGATAAGCATAAAAATAATATGTGTCATAAAAAAAAACATTGCTCTGAAACATTTCACACCAAATGACTTACTGTAACTAAAGTGAATGGTGAAAATGATTACAGCAGCTGCCTTTTACATGTGCAGGGTCAAAGAACTGGGTCATCATACAAGGAAGGGACAATAAGCGACACCATGCCCAATAAAACAATGATTACATGAGAAAGAAGTTTATGTAGCCTAGTCATCATCTTTGTCCTCGCTGCCACAATGGCCCAATATCTGACACGAGCAGACCCCTGAAAATTCTCCTCAGTTGAGATGGGGAAGTATTTCCTACTATCCTGAACTAGAAAATAACAAGACATTTTCATTTTATACCTCAGTGGACATATAGTTCTTGCATTGTGGGAAATTGTATTCATAGCCTGTTTACAATGCACACACTACAGTGCAGATATACATGAGGCTGTCAGCCTGCACTGTGTGTATTGGGCCTGTAATAATGACATGTTGTTCCTCACTCTGCCGAGGCTGAATATGAAGCTACGGGACAGCAGATTACATATTCTATACAGCGAGCACTTAACTATCACTTCTCAGCTCTTATTACTATAAAAAAAAGAAGTCAGCAATGCTAAATAATATGTATATGTGTGTGTCACATGTGTTTATGTTATGCAAGGAAAATTACATTGATATTCTCGCAGGACGCTTCTTAGAGGGGGGAAAACTGTTGATTTGCTTCTTGCGATGATTGCCTACGCCAAAGAAGTCTTCACACGCGACAGAAGTATTTATTATGCTAATTATATATTCAAATCAAGGAGGAATGCTATACCCATACTGGTGAGTGCAGTCATTACGAGCACGAGGACTGTCTTTCGCTGGAGCAAGTAATAAGCAGTCCAAACAGATGCTTTCATCTAACTGATTTAAAATGTCATGCATTTAGACTCAGAGAAAGTGTCTGTCTGGTTCTGAAATGATGAATAATAAATCTGAATATGGGAAGGGAAGCTTTTTCAAAAGCCAGTTGAATATATCAAAAAAAAAAAGGTGCCACTTTGAAATCTGTCCCTTAGATTACTGATAAATATTCGTTTGAGCAAATAAAATGTGACACAAAAAAATGAATGCGACTCTGAAATAATGTGCTTTGCTTCACTTTGTGCCACTCACATTTCTAAACATTCAAATGCTCATCAAAGTGCAATTTTACAAGTGATCAATGCAGATTTGATTCTGTTTTAGATAGAGGATCTTGTGGGAGCTATAAGGTCCTTCTACTTAAAGGCTCTGAAACCTGAAGCTGGTGTCCTTCATGGATTTAAGTTATCTTAACTGTAATTTGATAAACTTCTATGCATAATTACAGTAGAATGGGTCCCTTAATTAATCTTAAATGTAACATCTATTCATCAGTGACAGATCTATATGTCCAACAGGCACATTGCTTTTTTACTGCTCTTTAGGTTTGGGCAAAACAACACATCCTTGAATATATTTTGTAAATTACCTTGTTCAAGCACATTGTGTCCTACTTAAAAAAAGCTTAGAATATAAAGAGTCTCAACAGATTGTCTTATTTATTGTAAGTATTGTTAGCAACTGACCCCACCCCTAGATCCACCCCTGCTACTTATCGTCTCCAATGATGACTTTGTTAATGTTTGTGATAATGAAGTTTTTTGCTAATGATGCAACTCTGCCCAGCCAAGTTACATCTCTGGATTTAGTGTTGAGTTAACCAGGACAAATGAAGAAATATCTTGGACAGCAAAGATAAATAGTATTATTACCAATAACATCTAAAGTCAGTGATACTCTCTACGATCTGAACTAACAGAGCAGTAAACAGCAAACTGCTCAGGTCCTAAACATGCAACCGCACTGACTTGAGCCACAAATTCTAAAGCACATGTCTGCAGTATCTTTGTGTGCCCATCAAGTGCTCACCTGCTTCACAATATTCAGAAGCAAACCCTAAAAACTGTTGGAGTGGATCAGGACAATGTGTGTTTTCCCTGCTGTTAAGGTTTTCTCTTTATGCGAACCCATAGTAGACCTCCAAGCTATGTTCCCTCCACCATATGTCAGGCTCTGCTACTCGCCTAGCGCTTGGTCTCCTTCCAATCTCAAGATTTCATTGGACAAAAGTTTCCTGTAAACTCCTGTTACAGTCAGGAAAAGCCTCTCCCAGAAATATGTTATGGAGAGAAAACACAATGAAATTCTTAATCTATTTAAAGAAAAAAACAGAGTCACTTCATGCAATACTAACAATAATTATAAAACATGTGATTTTCTGGGTTGAGTTGACAATAAAAAATGACAATGTGAAAATTCCACCATATAAATACAGTGACTTTACACATAGTCCTGTGCTGTCTGCTCCACTCCTGAGGCCAATGTACATAAAATGCACTGACCACACCAGTGTGACTTACACATCCCTGCACAGAGCAGATGGACGAGCCCGCGCTGCTTGTGCAGACCTCAGTTTTGCTCACACGGACCAGATTTGTTCCGATCCAGGGCTGCAGCTGTGCTCTCTGACAGTAACTCGCACACAGCAGGGACAGGATACCTTTCACTGTCACAGAGCTGCTCCTTTCCTCTCCTGGGATTTGTTGAGATTCTGATGCAACAGGGCTCATTGAAACTGAAAGAGGGGAATTTGATATCTGAGAGACGGGTCTCAAAGTTGATATCTTTGCCCTTGGAGATAAAACTATTGTAAAATTCATTTTAGGAGGAGTCGAGTCTTAAAGAAACGGCAGTTAGAGATGAGCTGTAAGCTGGAGGTCACACCATCATTTAAAATATACAGGTGTTTCATCTGGCTCTCAAGACAGAGCTGTAACTTGGATGTGAAACTGTGTTCGAAATCAGCCTTCAACATTTATTTGTTGTAGAATTAGACATTAAATACAAAGTGTGTGTAACATGTATGAGGCATCATACATGGAGGACAGGTGCACATACTGAGAGAGATCACCATGTCGAACAGCTCATTAGCTTTAATGGCGTTTGTCACCACGGACGTGTTCCACATCAATGGTGTAACCACATTTGGCTCCAGTGAGGATGTTAAAACCCATCCAGTGTGTCTGTGAGTGGGTTGTCTCTGGATGTGGAGCGTCTGCAGTGTATTTTGTGTAATATGTGCTTTTGCGTGTACGTCTTTAGTGAAGAGTACCACCGAGCAACAGAACATTAGAGTGACTTTGATTACACACTTCTCAAATCCTAACAAAGCATCTTTGACACTCCGTGTTCCTCACCACACACACTCAGCGGGATCCGCTGATCTCTTTCCGTTTCTCCCTCCCTCTCGTTTCTCCCCCTCTTCATCCCTCCCTCTCCTCTCTGTCTGAAAGTCTCTCTCTCTCCCTTGTTTTGTTCAACTTTTATTTCTTCTGCAGCGCTCAGGGAGCGGCACCTGGTGAACATTATTTTCAAAAAGCATCATCATGCATCATTGTAAGGATACATGCTCTAATCAGCTGAACCATCTGGCAAACGGCTTATGCACCATCAAGCTTAAATGCTTTGCATCTGTTGATCAAATGGATGTCTCATTGTTTTCAGAGTAACACCCTTAACCTCTAAACCTCTGTACCTCAGCTCGCTGTCACAAACAAGTCTTTATGCTGCAGAGGTTATACTGATCGTTCGAATAAAAGATTAATGTCACACATTTACCTAAAGAGAGAGAGTTTTTCATCTATTAACCTGTGATTGGAGGTTTATGTTAATGCAGAGCACCATGTGTAATTTGAGAAGGCAGTAGTGTAGATATTAGTGTCTAATTCCTCTTGTTTTGGGAAAGGGGACATTGGCTTTTCTACCTTTTGATATCATCTCTTTGAATGCAGCTGCAGAATGTCAGAATTCAAAGATTTGTTTTGAGCTGTAATTTGTTTGATGCGATAACTTAATGCATAAATTAAACCTCTGTCAGAGCAGAGAAGCACTCTGCTCGCACACCCTAAAAACAGATTCTGATATTACAATGAATTATTCCACTGATTCGTGGTAGACATCCTACAGTCTCTCAGTAGTGTCAGAGTCTCTTGGCCTACTTATACAGACAGCCTTGCCAGTAATGTTATGTATTCCTTCAATGAACTCTAAATAAGTCATAGCCACAAGTGTGAAGGAGAGAGAAAATATCTGTGTATACCAAAGCAGCAAGCCAGACTAGCACTCCTGCAGCTGCTGGCAGCTACAGTCAAATGAATGAATGAAGAAATGGGAAATAAAACATTTCATATTTATGACAGTCCTTGAAAATTCACGGAAGCCATGCTTTCTCTCAAGGATTAATAATATATTATATTCAATAATAAAAGGTAATCATGTCCGAAAGCAGATAAATGGCACCATTTCACACACATCGGATTCACAGGCTCACAGACGCTCTCTTTTCTATTTCCTCTTTCTGTCTCCGAATCACAAGCGTAAACATATTTTTCCATGCCTAAGCCTGGGCTGTATGCGTTGCCAACTGATGTGAAATTGCCTTAAATTTCCCCTCACATAAGTTATCTTGTTTAGCTTTAGCAAAATATCTAACAAAATCCTGAAATATTTACATTGACTGATATTGGCTTTTGATAACAGTTTAGAATAGATAAACAGGCAGAGCAAACAAAGACTGAGGACAAAACACACACACACACACACACACACACACACACACACACACACACACACACACCGAGTCCCTTGCAATACAGTTGCACTATCTTTCATCAGCACTATTGTGTTACAAAATACAGGTGTGCATGCTGAACACAAAGACGTGAATTGCCTTGCCGTCAGTGCTTCACCCATCAAAATAAGAGCTTCTCAGCAAGACTGAGCTCCTCTTTTAATCACTGTCTGATTGATTATGCTCGCCCAAAAGTGCACACTTTGCGCTGAAAACATCACTGTGAACATGTGACAAATGATTCTTCTCTCTAGATGTATTGCCCTATGTTGAGAATTATACACACATACAGCATGCGAGTCCACTGGTGTGTTCTGTCTTTTTGTTTTTTACATGCATATTCGGCTTCAGGTGGAGACATTCTTGATTAAAGGTTAATAAGGGTTGGTTATCTCTGCTGTGTATATTAATTCAGCTGTTAGACAGGGCCAACCTGGCATTTTACCATAAAACTGTCCTGTTCTGTGTCTACGGATGGAGAAGTGAACAGAATACCAACTTAAGATAATGTTTTCTTCCCCAAAGAAACCACAACGCAGAGAGAGAATCCGAGTTAGCAGCAAGATGCTGGTTTCCTACGACGACTATAGAGACATTTTAAAATAGGCCTTGTTGCACTGATGGCGGTTCTCTCCCTCTCTCACACACTGATTGGTCTAAAGTTACCAAAGTCATCACCCTAAAAACTCAATACTGCAGTGTAGACAAAGTAGGTGAGCGGAGCACAACAAAGACTTGGATACTGTATTATTTATTTCAGCTCATGCTTTTGTTGAGGGGAGAATCTTGAAGTTTTTCTCTGTCTCAAGGAAAATGAAGCACTGCTGAGTAAGCAAATGTTATGCAGTGGGTAGGTATTTCAAAGTCTTTCTCTTTCCTCTGTAATGTCTCTGCATAGGAGGTGTTTGTTATGGAAAACAAAACCAACCGCATGCAGATCATGCGCAAGTGCTTCAAAGCACAAGGTCAAAATACTACGGGGAAATTAGTGCCTTATCTGTAAACTTACTTATTGATATTCCTCATTTGACTCCACCGCGATCCCCAAATATTTTCGGCATACACAAACAACATAAACATGCAAATCCCACTGAATGTATTTTTTCATCTTAGTCTCTTTTTCTCCAGTGGAATAATTTTGGATTACCAGTAAGCAGGCACTCTTCCTTTCGGCCTTGCAGCAGCTCTCACACTCACACACACACTAAAGCTGTTCCAATATTTATACAGACATTATCAAAAACAGAATTGGACCCCCTACAGGAAAAGTGGAACGTTAAAATACACATAAAACCTCCACACTTACAGTAAGAGATTAATACAACCAAGACTTAGTTCCTTGCAAACAAAAATACACACACAAAACACACACACACACAAAGGGGAGGAGCAAAGGGAATGAAAGTGTGTGCTCACCCAGGGTTTGATGAAACTCACCCGACACCGGGGTCATGGGAGTGGGTGGGAGGCTGTTGATGTTGAGCGCCCCCATCTGGTGGATCTGCGTGGCGGGAAAAGCCACGCTGGGCGTGAGGTAACCTCCGTGGCTTGCTGCCATGATGGCTGCCTGCTGCTGCATGAGCTAAAGAAGAGGGACACGGAGCGGTTGGTGAAGGAGAGAGGGGTGGGATGTGGGTACGAGAGAGAGAGCAGGAGGGGGAGCGGGGTGCGAAAACAGGTGAGAGGAGGACAGATGGTAATGGAAAATATAGTACGTTAGGAAGGAGTCACACAAAGACGGGAGAATGGGAGCGAGAGAAGAGAGGGAAATGTAGCAAGGGTAGAACAGAGGGAGGGATGTATGTTGAGGTTGATGGATGGATAGTGCATGGGAAGTACATAGAAAGTAGAGCAGAATAAAAGAAAGGGGAGAAAAAAGAAGCCTGTCAACCTATGTTTAGTGAATCTGTCTATTCTCTCAGCTGGAAGCCTGTCACCAGCTACAGAAACAATTTAATAGCTGTCTGTTGGGCTCATACAAATCAAGGCACTGACATGTGCACATTATCTTCATGCTTAGGGAACAGGCAAACTTTTCACGAGCTGAAATGCTTTTTCATTACGTTCATCCAAGCGTTAAAATTTTTCTTTGTTTTATAATTCAGCTGGAAAACCACTAGGCCTGTCTTTAGGCTACTTTTGCCAAAATAGACGGCATTTAGCAAACTGAATACATTTGGGGCTGGAACTTCGTTACATGACCGCAGTCTTTTCCCTGACTGAAAAACAGTTTTAGAGACATTATTTTACCAAACAACATTATGATCTGTGCTTAGTACTGACGAGCTCCAATCTGTGAGGAAATGAACCTAAATCCAGACACTGACTTATTAAAACAATAGTTTTTAAAGCTGGCAATTTTAAATTCCAAACCATGTTGCTAATACTGTATGTTGTGAGTCAGAAAGATTTCAGTGGCAGTCACCGATTGGACAGTCCCACACAGAGATAAAATCGCAGGCTTTCATTCACTCTGCTTTTCTACTTATCGTGAAGTGAGAATTTTCCATCAAATGCAGCCCACAGTGTTTATTCATATGCATAAGACATGGCCCCATGCACCGCTGCACAGCACTGCACTCACACACATTCACACGCACGACAAGCATGGAGAGCGACGGAGACTATTTGAGTTTCTGCACTCAGCTTAAATTATTCCCGTGCAAACCTCATGCTGAATGCCTAATTCAGAAGAAAATCCATCATTGTACAATGGCTTTTTGCAGCTGGTGAACCAATGGGTTTATTTGGGGAATCAATAATCTCTTGCTGGCAGTGTAGCTGCCCATCAGCCATGTAGACCTACATAGCTGCTCTGTGTCAGGGGAGCTGCTGACGGCCACGGCCCGAGACTGACTTGTATAAGCAGAAATCTAACTCCTCTGCCACGGGCACTAATGCTAATGATGATACTGTGAGACAGTGGCGGTATAGAACACCACTCTGCTTGCATTTGCATGGCGACCCTGCAACGAAAAAGCCAATTATTTTCGCTCAGTGGCCCTGTCAGGTAACCTGAAAGCGACTGTCCCGCTGTGGAGTGCCCAACACTGGCATCTCATCCATTAGCCACATGCCTCACCACTGCTATCTATTAACGCCTTTTGTCATTTGCATAATTTTATCAACATGACAAATGGGGATCATCCATTTCCTTCCACATAAGATGAATTGAGCCTTTAAGGGGATATAGCTGGGACAGACAGCGAGGGAACAGGAAACTAAACAAAGGCAATGACATAAATACAAACAAAGGGGTCTAAAGGACCTCAGGCTCCCTTGCTTTGGCAATGCTGTGACTGCCCCCTTATTAAGATGTGAATAGGCCTGGACTTCAGGATGAAGGGTTGAACTGGGCTGGTGTTAGAGGGTAAATACACTGTCACACCACTCAGTGTGTTTTTGTCTTTTCTAGGCCTCTGCTCCTTCCTTTCAATGAGGACTTCATTCTAATAAGCCCAAAGTCTATTCATTGTGGCCTTTCATATTTATGGGGTGGAAGTGTATCCTAGTGACTTCAGAATAGCTGCCTCTCTCCCAATGCATGACTTCTATAATGCAAACCTTAATGCCACCCGCCAGATTGTCATGGATAACAACTCTGGCATCCGCTGATGCTTCGTTCCAAATTAAAAAGCTGCAAATTGGGAACTCAAGCATGTAATTATGTTGGAATGCAGTGGTTAATACAAACTGGCTCTGATAAAAAATAAATAAAGAACAAAAAGCAGAGTAGTTATGTTGACACAGATATTCAAAGTCATTCCATTTTACTTGTCATATATATATATATGCTCTCCTCTTCTTTTTCAAAATTTCAAAGGCATTACATTCAAAAGCCATTCCCGCTTCTTTATTTATGCACAACCCAGCAGATAGCAAATGTCTCTGGTGGAGAATGAGCTCAGCTGAGTCTTCATCATCACAGACGCAACCTTTTCTGCTTCCTCTTGAAAAAGAAAGAGGAGAGGGAAGAAAAAGCCAGACAAAAAAACAAGGGGGGACAAAAGAGTAGAGAGCGAGATGAAAGGGAGCAAAAGAAAGTTGCCCAGGCTCCAGTAGCATTCATTTAGTGTCAGACATCTGCTTTTTTATTGCAACCTGATGGCATTACTCTCCCCTGGTGCCAGCAGGCAATCACCTCTTTATCACATGGCAATTATCTCTGTAGCTGCTCTGTGACTTGCTGACTCTCAGCACTGTCACATGTGACCCCTTATAGCCCAACCAGCCGGGAACAGCGTTAGGGAGGGAGATGGGCAAAGAAAGGGAGAGAAAGAGAGAGAGAGAAAGGGTGAGTGGGTCACTGAGATAAACGAAATGACTGAAAAATGTTGTTTGTTTCCCCCTCCACATTAAAGGTTGTATTTCCATGCAAAGATTTTAAGATGTTTTATCTCGAAAGAAATTTGTTAAGTGTGTACATGTAAGTGTGTAAAGACACATGCAGGGGCAGTCAAGAGTACCTGTGTGTCTGTGTGTGTAGTTTACTGTACAGCCAAGTGATGCAGTAATCTGGTCACATCATTTCTCATGTGGGCTGTGTTGCAAAAGGCTCCATTTCAAATGTGAGTGCCTCCAACAGGGGGAGATGTTTCCTAATGTGAGTTTACAGTCATCATCTTCCCTCTCATCCACCCACACACTGTCACTATTAGCGCAGAGTTAAACCATTTTCTCTCCTCTCATTTATCCATCTTGCATGCAGCCTACAGCATCTTTTAGGGAGGCAAGAGGGGCACGGCGCTGGATAAACTTCTCTCACTCTGACACAGCATGTAGGTCCTCCAACCTAAAGAGGCCGAGCAAAGCCAAAATGGCTGTCTTCACACCGAGAGAGGAGAAGTGACTTGAATCAAATCTAACCGTGCACAAATACAATGTTTGTGTCTTAAAGGGGAAATCTGAGAGGTAATAAAATCTGGGTTTATTACTTGGCATTCAGCGATTCATGGGAGAGCTACAGTATTATCACTCACCTCTAATACCGGAATGAAACATGGAATCACGCTTGCTTGCGCTCCTCCAGCTTGTGTTTTATGAAATCACCTTTTTGCAAATAGGATGTATGCTGTCAGAGCACACCAGTGTCTGTGTCTATCGCGAAAATGGCACATTTCTCATTTTTGGCATATGTTGTCAGTGTTGCACCCCTCCAATTTGTGTTCATAGCCCCCCCCCTTCTCCTAAAATCCAATTTACTGGCTGTCAGCTCAACTCTATAATCCTATCCACTGCTGTAGTGGAGAGGTAGCTCTTTGAATTTACCATTTACTGTACACTCTGGATATAGCTATATATACACCATCTCTTCCCAAGTCTGTATTCTATACCGTGCCACCTCCTCTTCTCTTGGCCGGTGGATATGAAGAGTAGGCGAACATGTAGTGTGTCTTTGGAGATAAAGTCCTTTTTCTGTCACTGCAGGTTTTTTTCGTCTTGGGGGAATATGTGTAGTTTATCTTGCCGTACAGAAACATTCATAGTATCACTTCAGCACATTCCTGGTGGCTACAGGGGAATCAAGGCGCCACAGCATGTGCATGCAGCCAGTGCCAATGACTGGAGCGTAATCAGAACCGCTGCACAAGCTGGACACCCACATTAAAGATAACTAATAATTCCATTTATTCCACATTATTACGTATCTAGTGGTCCGAACCAGTGTTTTGGATCATTAAATAAGTCTTTTGCTAGATATGAAAACAAGACCCTTGCTGATAATCCATTACTGCCTCTTGTGCTCTCATTACTTTATCAAAAGTTGGGGCCAGTTTATCTCCAAGGTTGCCTCAGAGTTGCTTGCTTTATTTTGCTGAATTAATTAGATCCAGGTACATGGCATCCACAGTGTCTGTGATTCATAATACTAATACAAGGAGAATTTCACCTTCACTACCATCATTCATGCTGTATAATCTTTGTGTTGAGAAACCACATACGTGCAATTTCTCCTCTAGATTTAATGGTAATTGATTCTCTCTAATGTTGAAGTATCCCTCGTGCCCTTGTTACTTTCACTCGGAACTCAATTTCCTAGCATCATCTTGCTCTTTGTCATATTATATGTGTATATGAGACAGACAGAAGGGAGAAAAAGAGAGAGAGAGGGAGAACATTTGCTGCACGACGTGTGTGCGAGTGTGTATGCTCTTGTGCGCGTCTGTATGAGTCGACACGGGTCTCTGCCACAGTAAATAAGAGTCATGGCCAACCTGAGCGGGGCACAATGGTCTCCCCGCAGACCACCACTGCCTCCGACACCCCTTAAACATTTGCATTTCTCCACATTTCCTGCAAAAGGGCTGCATTTCATGAATGGTAATGAAGGTGGGAGTTTTACTGTAGAGAGCACAAGAGATGGCCTCACAATTACTCTGGGATGGTCAATTTGCACATTGCACACTGGGTCCCATGGCTCTGATATGAAAATGAGGGAAATGGATAAGCCCCCCCAGACCTCGCTAACATCAACAATTAATCCTGGCATTTAGGAGCAGAAAAAACGTATAACTTTTACACCCAAATAAGAAGAGGGAAAAAAATAATTTGTGTTCCCTTGTCTGTGGAAATAAATACTATAAATACTGTTTATGTGTATTTATGCAGTGTGTTGTGACAGAGGCCCAGGTTTTTATCCCCACGCTTGATGGAAAGCTTCTCTTAAATTCAGTTTTTCCTGCTTCGAGTGGGTTGTGTATGTGTGTGTGGATTTCTTTGGCATGTGTGTGCTCTGCCTCAGTGGAGAAGAAGAAGAAAGTTGGTGTGCAGATAAGTTGCCCGTGGAGTACTGAGTCAACTGTGGCCCCTGAAACATCTCATGGGCCCAGGGGGGAGGAGGAGGGAGAGGGTAGAGAATCAGTGCGATAGAGGGCAGAGAAGGGGGGGAGGGGGGTTGAATGGTGAGAGCGGCTGCATGGGCTGTCTGAACTCATCAAAGAGCCGGGGGTCTGCTGTGTGTACAGCGCCATGCCCTGAGGGGGAGGGGGTACAGTAGGCGGGGGTGGGAGGGCAGAGGGAAGCTGATGAAGGGGTTGGAGGGTACATGCTAACTACTGTAAATGTGTGTGTGCCTATGTGGTGAGGGAGTGTAATGGCATGGCAGCACTGCTAAGAGCAGAGCAGTAGAGCTGATGATAGTTTGGAAAAAGCAAATTTTCACTTGATGATAATATCTACCTATTAGATGTCAAGGGAAAAGATTTGGCCATAAAAAGTTAGTGTGCAGCGGAATAATGCTTGAAAACTTTGTGGGTTTCAGAGGCAGATATCACGTTTAACTATCTGATGTTTATTTGGACCAAATCAGATCAAAGCTCAGGTATAAAAATTGAGTGTGTTTTTTCCTCGTGTGATGTGAATTCTGACACATGAGCGGCCTCACTGCAACACCGATCACTGATCAGCTCATTGAGGATTACACTTTACAAAAACACAAAAAACATGTGTTGGCATACATTTACATTTTTAAACTAGTGCAGTCCATGAGTTGCATCCACAGAAGATGTTTGTTGTTTAGTTTCATCGAATATAGCTTCCCTGACTAATTGTTGGTGGAATGAAAAACAAGGTGTAAACACAACTCTACTGTTACATTTTAGGTCAGCAAACCTGTGAGGAAACATTGGCTTCATTTCTGTTAGATCTGTATCTCACAGAGATGGAGCAACATTAGGATTCATTTGGAGCATGTTTCTGGCCACAGATAAATGCAGTCCAATATTCTCGGTGGTTTGATTAACTACTAAGAGAGATAACTGGCTCTTCAGTTGTTAAACAAGTCACTACGTTCACCAGCTAGTCACTCACTTTGTCTGTCTGTCATTTGGTGCTGGACAGGTAGTGTGCAGTGGGTTTTAGCTGCTATCAAACTGGTGAGACTGAACTAAACCAGTGACACATGAAACAGAAACAATAAGCTGAAAGATGGTGAAGTGCTCCACAGATCTAAGGGAAACTGCAGTTGAGTGATCTAAGTATTGAGCACTTCTTTCATGAATGTATGGTCATTTGATTAATTGTTAATATTAAAAAATATAGTAGCAGCTTGAACAACTTTGATTAAAAAAAAAGAATAAACAGTAGTTGAAAACACAATGTGACAATTTAAGGAAACCTTGGAATGGTTTCTTATTATAATTGTTACTCTATTCTTAAATGTGTCTAGTGTATATGTAATCACCCACTGATGTGTATGTACATCAATGCCATACAAGCCTAATCAACCTTAATCTGTTTACGTTCCGCTGTCTGTGCTGTCTGTGCTGTCTTTGCTGTCTGTGCTAACATTTCCAACTCACCGCATGTGCGTAAGAGCTGTAGGTGCTGAAGGGGAGGGCGATGGCTGGGTTGAAGATGCCAAACTGCCCAACCATCTGCTGCATACGTCTGATGGTGCGCTCCTTGTCTGTGTCGGCAAACTTGACCACCAAGCTGGAGGAAGCACCCTGAGGGGGGAGAGAGGGAATGAAGATAAAATCAGAGAGACAGAACTGAGAGTTATACTGCAAGCACCTTTAACACTAACAGTGAGTCAACAGCAGAAACAGTCTCAAAGATTTGAGCCACTTCCTGGGTTGTTATAATTTAATGTTCAATATATATTTAGAGACAGACACTCACAAATGGCTTTAAAATCCTGTTCATTATTATTTCAGATTTCTCAGTAGACCACATTAATTAGCAACAACAACTGGTGTTAACATCAAAACCTAGCCAGCTCCTATAATTGCATGTTTTCTCTTTGGCATTCTCACTGTATCATTGCACATTTGTATGATTTCAGAGGATCCATATATTTTGTGGCTGGCAAACATTTGAACCTAACAAAGACATGTGAAGAATCAAGTTCTACTTATTAAGTAAATGGCTTTGTAGCAGATTCCTTCAATCTGTGTTTAACAAATGTGCAAAGTCACTTGGGGCGAAGCATCCCCCCCCAGGTTTTCCTCTCTGCTCCAGTACATGTATGTAACCTTGGTGCTACTGCCCACAGTTAAGGTTAAAAGGTCTGCAATTTACAATGATTTGAGATAATAGCTATGATTGACCGTAGTTACTATTGACCCTTGAGGACAATGTTCTTCAAAGAAAATGTTGCTTTTTGGGACAATGGCCCCTCATTCTGTCCCCTCATTTCTGTTTTGACCTCCCTCTCCTTCCATCTGTACCCATCCATCCCTCTATTACACTAATATCGCTCTTCTGCAGCCCAATATTGAAACCAGCAGGTGTGTCTGCCACACTCCCTTCATTAAGAATCTTCAAATGATTTAGCGCGATAGCTGACCTTTTGTGTGCTCAGCCGCTCCTCCCCTCTGCGCCCCCAAACTGGCCAATCGATCCACATAAAAGGCCGAAATATTACTCTGATCTGACAGTTTAGAAAGGTTGTGTGTCAGTCACGATTTGAGGCCCCATGAAATTGATGCAAGATTGTCAATAGCAGTGGTGACTTGTGAAGTGCTCGGATTAAAGGCTGGGGGGCGGGGGGTGGCTGTAGAGGGGTTAAAAGGGCTAAAGGGGTATTTCATTGGATCTGAGGGAAACCCTGGCAGAAGTTAGACTTGGACAAATGTAATGATGATCTTTTTACATAGGAACTGGGGATGTCTACTAATGAAGACATCCACGGAGATGCCTGTTCAAAGGCACTAGACCTTTCGACTGTATTGTATAGATTTTATTCTCTTCTCTCCCCACTATTCCCAATATTCCCTCAAGCCATTTCCCCCCAGCTTGCCTGCTGGTTGAATCACAGGTTTGAAGGGTTGTAGGTTCTTTGCCAGTTGGTTAGGTCAGCTGCCTGACTAAATGGTGGATTGTCTAGTTCGCAGAGTGATTGACTGACTTACAACCTAGTACGGTAGAAGGTTGGCTAACTGGCTGATAGACTAATTGTCAAACTGTCAGGATGGCTGACATCTGTACTCCGGTCAGCTGAGTGACTAAATGTTTTACTTCTTATTGTGTGTGCCATCCTGCCACATTGGAACAACAATTTTCCGTTTTTTTATGGAAACAAGAGATGGAACAACATAATCTTGAAGAGATGGACTTTCTGTATTGCTGTCTCTTCAGCATCACATCATATATGGAGGCTTTCTGTGAGTTAAATTTATCAGTTTTAAGACCATTATGATTGAACTTCAAGACCTATGTTGAGTACAACAGAATATCAGTTGCAGTAGTATAGTCCCAGAATTACTTATAATCCCCATGGTTGAAGGTGGGGTGAAGTAGTCTAGAAAATAACCTTTGAAACAAGGGCCGAAGTGCGCTTGGGCAAGATACTGAACCCCCAACTCCCCCTGGCGTGCAAGTGAAGATAGATGCACAGTGTAAATGAGTGTGAATAGGTGATGAGATATGTTTTGACCACAGTGTATTAGTTATCAGTTCCACATTGGTCTTGTTTGTAGTTTTATTGCAGCGTACCAATATCTTTATCGTTGCGAAACAACCTCCCTAAAGGTCTTAAATTTAGATGATTGAATTTTAGACTTTTTAAGACCCTGTAGAAACCCTGATAGTCAAATCAGGGTTAAATGTGGCACAGTTGCAGGTTCAGGGTTTGTCAGTTATGTCAGTCCAGCTTTTGACGATCAGCATCATTAACTTTATTATGAGGTTTATCTTTGGGAGAGTGCAGGACAGGCCTGTGCAGGACCAGAATACAGAGGAGATGTGAATAATTTAACTCCCTCTCACTCTTCCTGATCTGCTCCTCTAATTTTTGAGGAAGGCAATATTTCATAATCTGAGGATATTAAATTGGAGCTTTACACTGTTTTCAATGTAGAACCAGACTGGAGTGTAGCTGCTTCAATAATAGAGATACTGTTTATTGTGAATGCAACAACTTGTCTGGTTGTACAAAAGCCTTGTGTTATGCTCTTTTATACTCTAGCATGTACATCACACACCCTGTAAAGATTTTTTTTCAAAGAAGTCTATACAGTGGGTTTGCCCTCCTGCTGTTTCTCCTCAGTGCACCTGAATCTTATGGCTTGTCGGTTAAGCCTCCGTTGCTACATTTGTTTATCTCCTAGTTTTTTCCCAGTTAGGCTTGTCAGAATATCAGGGAGCAGAATCTTCATTGCTGTAAAGAGAGGAGGATGAAGTGTAAAGTAAAAGTCTCATTAAATTTTTAAGCTGCCAAGTGTGAGCAGAATCCCCCTGCCAGGCGGCTCCCAGCTACCTAGAGAGCCGCTGAAGGAAGGGGAGTTAAACAGGGAGGATAAAACAGGCACTATAGAGATTCAGAACCAAGTGAGGAAAGTCTGCCTCTTTACAGGTTCTTCTCATTGCCAAGTAAAAAGGCTGGTGTGTGTCCAAGCTCCACTTGTCCATGTGAATAAAGAAGATAAAGCTGCATGCCCAGCTATTTATTCCATACTCCTTTACAAGGCCCTTCTCAATACTCAGTGTGCCAAGACCCCTGTACTTGGCAGTTTGAACTAAGTAAGTTCAGGTCTTTGTCTCAGTCCAGACTCTCAATGAAAGGGAGAACTATTAGCAGTTGGAACAGCAGCATTCTTGCTAATATCAACGACTCACAACTGTGCCTGACTGTACTGTGACAAAATAATCTTTACTCACAGACCACCAACAATGTACAGTTGTAGTAAAAGATACACTTGATATATGTACGGTCAATTAAAAATCAACAATATGCATCAGTCTATTCTTGAAATCCACAGATTCCACAGAGACACCACTGTGGATTAACTGATCAACTAATCATGTATTTCTTATGTATTCAAGAAATATTTAATTTCAACTCTGATGTCAATGTCATCTTCTAAATGGAATTTTATCATATATCGAAACGCTATAGACAACAGAGACAGTGGTGAATTGCCAAGGGCTTGCTGAGTTGAGATTGTTCTCCTGTGACAGCGCACATTGAATGGTCGGTCGGAGATGAGCACTCAGGGTCCTCACATGTCAGGAAATGCCAGAGGAAATTTGTTTGGATAAGCTGACCACATATTCAAAATCTAAATGCTTAAATCCCTGCCACTGTCACTGGTTGGTGCACAGTGCATTCTGGGACACTTCCCCAACTCTGCACAAGTTGGCTCCCAAAGTACTCGCCTATAAAAAGGACATAGTGAGAACACATGAATATTTAATCTGTCCTTGGTTAGATATGAACTATGAACTGGAACAGGACTCAGCCTATGACTAAGTAAATACAGACAATATTTGATAGAAGCCAATCATATGCCAGTTGTTATAAGTGTATAGCAGTTTCAAATTTCACATGACAGATATTTTATCAGTTTTAATGGTGTGTTAGTTATACTCAGATTCTGTCCATTCAAGTGCAGCCACAATAAAAAAAGGTAAGACACACATCCTGTCTTTTTAATGTCAACATCCTTAAGACAAAGAGTGCTGCATGTACAGAACCTACATGTGGTTCACCCATAATTCATGCACATTAAATGATACTATGCTTATTACTGTATTCTAATAAGCCATTACCACCCTATTGCTCCAACCCTACTCCCCACTGAAATCATAGAAATGCACGTCCTCTGTAAGCCTGGCTAGTAACATAATTGATGACTGTAATCTATTAGGTTATTAGAATGTAAATTGCCTGGGTTGAAAAACTAGTGGGAGAAATGACGGATCTTAAACAATAAATACTAAGTTAAAATATAAAGGCAGAACATTGTTTAATGAGAAGAAACACAACAATCTATCATCCTCGTGAAATACTGACATTAAAGCTCTGCATCTCACTGAATACAAATTGAGATTATAACTGCTTTCTCACCAGAAACCGGATTTCATACTATCTGCAGATTCTAACATTTTATTATTGTTTAAGGCGCCAGCATGTGGATCTGTACATTAAAGCAATGTGTCTTGTTGAGTGTCAAATCCTGGCACTCTCGGCATGTGCATGTGCATGCTCGCTCTTTGAAGTAATGGAGAAGATCCAGCAGCTGCGGAATCTTTTTTTTTTTACCCTTTACTGTTCTCCTCACTCTCAATCATCAAGCTCTCCCCTCTATGCAAACTTTACCTCATTTGCTTTCCTTTGTTCTGCTCTTATCCTTCCATCATCCTGCTCCAGTGTTTCTATCCCAGTCCCTGTGTCAGCTGAAACATGCTCAAACTCAGACTGAGCTGATGCAGAAATGGAGTGAAAAAAATCAGCGTGGCTCTGCGGACTTGACCCGCATCCCCCCTTGTCTCGGCATAATTCTGTCCCGGGACTTACTTGCTACACGGCCCTGCTGAATCCCAGCAATTTGCTTTACAGCTCTAGCGTTTAAATGTTTAATTGAGCCACTCATATCCTGAACTGTGGAAGTGTGTGCACGTGTGTGATAGCTGAAGGAAGCTGAGGGAGGGCGGGGGTGTGTGTAAGGGTGACGGAGGTCTGCATGCTTGGAATATGATGGATTTAGGTGTGATGGAGATCCAACCAAGGTCTTATATGTGACCTGCTGGTGCACTTATATAATTCATACACTTACATTATCTTAGCGTCATCATTCACACACTGACATTACATCATTGTTATTGATTGGCAAATAATCTTTCACTTGTTGTCAATCACAGATGCACACATGGAAATATATTCGTTCCCACTCATGGTATGCATCCATAAACTAAACCTTTGCATGCACTGACCGTCACTTATGTACACACACTCCACATATGTGCACTTTCCATGCAGATTTCCTCCCCCCCTTCCCAACAAATGCCCACTCCCCCTCGACATGAATAACACAAATGTATTCAGCTCAAGTCCTCCGGGCTGGAAAATAAGATCAGTCAGGAAGCCTTTGACCCCAGCCTGTGGCTGTACGAGCATGTGACAGTGAAACAGCGAGGAGAAATATGGGCTGTGTGTGTTGTGTGTGCATGTGTGTCTGCGCTCATGCAAATGTGCTGCCCACAAAGTGCTACTGTTTGTAGATCTTTATGTATGCACACACATGCATTTGTGTCTGTTTGCCACTGTGTGTGTGTGAGGTTGCACTCATAAACTCTATGAAGCCAGTGTTCATGCTTTAGGGGATTGGCAGTAGATCTATCAAACTGCTGTAGTTAGTCGTAGTGTTAATATTCGCTGCACTTCAACACTTCAGCTCGCGACGCTATTGGCCGAGCTCATGGTCATCTCTCTAACTCATCAGCCGCAGCCTTGATGGGGCAGCACATACGCACACACATATATACGCAGGCTCAGTTCATCTTACTTCATTAGAAAAATGAATTGTCTCTATTTGATTGACCATTGTGACCGTTGCTTACAACAGATGTTCCTCATTGTTTATAACTTAAATCAGTATCCTGTGTTGTTGCTGTCAATGTTCTTTCTTTCTTTCTCATACTTCTTTATTTATGTATTAATCTATATGCATACCACTGTGATGTAAATGAATTATTGTTTTTTTATTCATTCAATCACTGTATCCGTGCATGACTTGTTTTTGCAGCAGTGACCCAACTATCGTCAACATGTGTCAGAAAGATACAGAGGATGTTTGGTCCAGGGTTTTTCCAGGATCTCTGCTTCATTTATGTGCACAGTGCTCTGAATAGCTCTGTCCTGCTGAGGCATAATGGTCAACCGGTGGTCTGCTAATCTCAGCAAAGCAGGCACACTGTGCCCTCTCCTGCAGGAGCCACAGGATATGAGATGCTGATCAGATTTCTATAATCAATTTAACAGAGCAGGAGGTATAAATCCTGTCAATTCACTCATTCTCCCACTGCCCTCCCCCTCCCTCTCTCTCTCTGTGTCACCCACTCCCTCTCCAACTCTCTGTCCCCTCCCTTCGGCCCTCTGCTTAGATGAATAATTCAGGAACCAATGTGGTGAAAGGTGGAGTAAACAAGTCTATTGCCTAATATCCCAAGAGGCTGCCAAAAAGAGACTAGTGTGGGAAGAGAACTAGCAGAGATAGAGGGATGGAGCGACGAAGAACAGACGTCCAGATTCTTTCCTCCTGACCTGCAGTCATTTGCACTTAGATTGACTCGAAGGTTGCGCCAAAATGGCACAGCTGGTTTCTAGTGTCCTCTTTGCATTCCTCTCTTGAGTCACACATGGGCAACCATTAATAATGACATCTTTCAGCCAAACTGAACACCTGTGAGATAAGGTGGGCAAGAGTTAGGGGCCTCTGCTTCTCTGAGACAAGGATTTCCGAAACAAAAATGAGGATAAAAGCAGTAGTATACTTCAGGCCACTAAATAATATGGGGAGTGACTCTGTCTGCTCGCCAGATGTCACGGAGAATAATTCTTTTCAGGTTTGGAGTGCAGAGCATGGAGCTTTTATTTTGACACCATCAGGTATACAGAGTCCATGCCAAAACACGAGGCACATACAAATGAGCAGTGCAGCTTCTGTGCTCATAGTAAATCCAATACAGAGAAAATTCAGAGGACACGCAGCGCTTACATAAGAAGCAAATGTAATCTCACACTGGCGTTATATTCACTTATTATGCAAACAGAACTACTGATTGATGACTCACCCAAAATTCAATTATCATTCTAAACAGATTCATCTGGAAATCAGATTAGGATTTTTTTTAAGTACCATGTTAATTAAGAGACAGACTATTTCTGGTTGTATCTGTTTTTGGATATGCATGAGGATGATTGCACTTTCTATAAGTTGATTAAAACATTGAAGTTTGGGAGTGAGTTTAAAAATGAGAAATTACAGCAAGAGAGGTGGATGGCACATAACTATTGTAAGTGGAGGGCTGTGTTTTGTATGTGTTGTGCACGCAAAGGATGCTACATGGCGTGTGGTTGTGTGTATGTTCCCATTTCTTTATATGCGCCTGTGTGTGTGTGTGTGTGTGTGTGTGTGTGTTTACATCAGAGGGAGAGGGACTCACTGGCATGGTCTGGCTGCCGTGGAGGGCGCTGATTGCAGATTGAGCCTCAGTATGTGTAGAGAACTTCACAAAGGCGCAACCTGCAAGAGAGAGCAGATGCACATGTAGGTAAAGGTGTACACACACACACACACACACACACACACACACACACAGCATGTATAGATATACAGTAAATGCATTCAATTGAGGGAGACTTTAAAAACACACAGTACATTAATAAAGGATGTAGAATTGTATTTGATACCACAAAAATCACTGTGCACTGAGAGGCTCTCATTGCACAGCAGGCTGCCCCACTCCGGGCATTAGGCACGCAGACAAGCAGGCAGAAGCTTCAGGCTAAACATTGCACTGATGAAGCAGAAAAGCATGCTATTTAGCACCACATGCCTGTCTGTGCATATTAAATACGAGCGAAACTGGCTCTAACTCAGTGTTTTCAGATAGAGAACCGCCGTGTGAGGATTCAGTAATGTTCATTGTTCCTACAGGAGGATGCTCGGATCAGTCTTTGTGAATATGAAGCAACAAAGGCCAGAAACCACAGAGCCAACACTCTCAGCTCTAATGTCCTCGAGGGATACTGTCAGGGCTAGATAAAGTGAAAACAAGTTGAAGATGGCTTTTGTGGGTTCACAAAGTGCACATTGCTGTTGCACATTAAATAATTCAACTTAAGTATGCCCCCCCCGTTGAAGACCTGGAAAATGGATTATATGGATATTATGACTTAAAATATGTACCACAATTTGATTTAAAGCTGTAAACTTTGCCTATTTATGAAGAGGAATTCTAAGTACTGTTGTATTGACTCAAACAAATCTCAATGCTTAAAACATTCAAGACTACTATGATGAGCCTTCATGCCATTCATGCCTAATTGAAAATGCAATAACAAGACTGTCAAATCATAGTTTTATCAATTACATAACCATCAGTCACATACTGATTCTCAGAATATGAATCATATATTTTTTTATATCTTTATCCAGGTTTTCGTGAATGCACTAGTTGTAACAGGCACTGAGACAAATGACCCATTTAATTAAAAGCTGACAAATGAACATAGAGTGACACATAGAGCCCAGAGTTTATCAAACTTAAATGGGAAACATACAAGGACTGAATATGTGTCTGTTGCAGTGAGGCAGCAGCACTATCCACTGAGTTGCCATCTCCTTCTGTTATTAAACGCTATTTCACCTAATTTTATTTCATTTCAAGTTTCTTTTGTATCCTTATTTAATTTTTTCCATACTTAAGTCTTCGTATCTCTTATCCTGCTTGACCTGGCAGCTCTGCCATTATTTCCCTCTTAATGGGCTTACCCCTGCGGACACCAGCCAGTCAGGATGCTCACTCAGCTGTCAAACCACTGCCCCCTATTGAGATATGGATAGAAAAGAGCTGGAGCTTGACATGACCTGTACAAGGACTTGGCTACATTAGTACAAACTACATGCCGTAATGAATATATGTAACTCCTGATGTATTTTGCATGTCATAAAATTTACTTCATCAAGTTTTGCTTCATGTAACTACAGCATGTGTTGGTGTCTAGGTGGATGGGGAAGCATAAGAAAACATTAAGAAGAAAAGTTCGTTTATTCTTTCATTTAGTCAGATCTCAGTACAACTCTTTGCTCTTTCATATCAAAGCTGAATACTTTCCAGTAAGGACACCTTTATTATTTATTATTCAAATTATATATTGAATGCATTTCTTTCATATACTGTTATGTCACTTTTACAAATTGTCTTGATGCCTTTTACATCTATATCTAAATATATATTACATATATTTTCTTCTGAATGCTGATGGTGTCATTATTCCTAAGCCCAAAGTCACAATGACTTGTCTAGTGCTATTTTAGGTCTGCACAAACTTAAGTCTTAAGTCTGCCCAGGTACTAGAAAGCAGTTTTGAAAGGAGTTTTTGAAACAGCAACTATTACAACTCACATGAGTGGACAAAGACTAAAAAATGTTTATAATAACAATATCTGGAGTCAAATGTTTTAAAGCAGAGACTTGACTTAGAAAGAGCACGAGCACTGCAGATCCATAAAGAGTGATGCAACTTTCCTTGGCAGCCCCCATCCTAGCTGTGGGGACACTTGAATTGTTTTGACATCCATCTTTTCCTTCTCCTCCTCCAAACCATTGCAGAGTCAGAATGCTCTGGCTTCAACCCCCTCAGATATTTAATTCCACAACAATTTCCATAAGCACTGTACAGGGAATAAGCTTTAGAGACGTGAAGAACCACTGGTCTCTGTGCTTATTGCTGCATGTCAGAGGGAAGTGATGTTTCCAAAAGTTTTTGGCTCATCTTAAAGAGACCTGGAAGATGGCAACACTACAGTAACCGAGGTACAGTATTGACAGGTTAAGGCTTCATAATATAGTTTTTCTTTTAAAACAATATATATGCAAAGAGTTTGAAATTCCATTTAAAAATGAAAGGCATTATTTAAATCAATGCTGTCGTTAATGGGATTACGATTGCTGACAATATGAAGTGCACTGTCTGTATCACAGATTATTCCTTCATCCAGCCGAACCTCTATGTCTGTCTTTAAAATAGAGATGGACAGTGAGTCTCCGCTTCCTCTCACTATGTAGGTGTGAGGCCAAAATATCCGGAATACGAACACTGCCATCTGGCACATTTGGAGCCAGTGTCAGTGGCGATTGGGGGATGGATCCTGCCGATCGACACACTCAACCAACTGTGAGTCAGTCTCAGCATCAAATACACAAAATGAAAAAGTCATGAAAACTTAACTTCCCAGAAAAATGAGAACCTAAACATACAACAGTGGGATAAGAACTACAAATGACTGTTACCATCTTTGAGACACAATGTATTTGATTTTTTGGTACATGTCCCATCCGCTAGCATAGAGGGGGCCACATTTATTACTTATACTGCAGCCAGCCACCAGGTGGCGATCAAGACGCTTTAGCCTTGTCATGTTGTTTATCTATATAAAGTCTTTGCTTTTTAACAAAGACAAATAATTACTATCCTATTAAATAGAACAAGATTTAAATTTCCAGATATTCAATGATTATTTCCACAAAAAGTACATTAATTTATCTACTGAACATGTCAAATAATCAAATTATCCTTTTGATGTCTATCAGAATTAATAATTTTGAAAGTCAAACAATTCAAGTGTTTGATATATTAGTCTACATTTATTTAATCACTGCTTGTAGCCAAGTAACGCATTAAACTGTGAAGCGTTAAAAATGATTGTAATTACATGAAAATGCAACTTGACCAACCAACATCTGATGCACGTGTCACATATATTTAACATATATCCGCAGCTGTCGCTGACACTCACACACACTGTCACTTCTCTGTCAGTGACCTAAATAATTTTGACAACTGTATCACGGCTCCTACCTTTGCTATTTCCATCGGGGCCTCTTAGGACCGTGCACTCCTCAATGACTCCATAGGGTTCGAAGAGGCGGTAAACATCCTCCTCGGTTTGTTGTTTGTTCAGCATCCCGACAAACAGCTTCCTGTCTTCTGAAACAAACGAAGAAGAGACGAAGAAATACATTAAAACTTTGACCGCAATTATGAAGCTAATTTGAGAACACACAGGGGTGAAATTTCAGCATTGTTGGCAGAACAGAGGAGGAAGTCTCTTTTTCCGCAGAAACAAAGAGAGACATGTTCACAGAGGCTCGGTACAGTAGAGAAACTGTCTAGTTAATGCAGCGCTGGTTGAACTCTGGTCACATTCTATTATCTCTATTCCAAGACTGATCATTTTAATCTCTGGTATAAGCGGGTCTGGTCCCATATGGGCACATTCACTGTTGCTGCTGGGCGCAAGTGAGTGGTCAGGGGCTGGAGGGAAGAGCAAAGAGGACTAATGAAGAGGTTTCTCTTTCTCTCTCTTTCTCACACACACACAGACACACACACACACACACACACACACACACACACACACACACACACACACACACACACANACACACACAGAGCGACCCAAGACAATGAGCAAGACTTTGGTCCTTTAAAAGCACCAAGGGCTCTAGGCAGCACCAACCTCCTACACACTGTACTGCACAGACTACAAACTCACACTTTCTCTCTCTATCTTTTACTCACTGTCTCCCTGGCTAGCTCTCTCTATTCATCTCTCTCCCCTCTCTTTTTTCTGCTCTTCTTTTTCTCTCGCTGATTCTACATTTTTCTCATCTGCCTCCCTCCCTCCCTTCCTTCCTTCTCTTTATCTCTCTCTTACTCTACTAATTGCTGCTGATCCAGTGTTTTTTGTGTAGCCAGAGAAATATTTCAGTGTACTCTTCAGTGAACAATGGCGTGTCTCTCCAGTGAGCAGCAAAGGCTGGGAGACATGCCATGAATAACGCTGACTTTTCAATAGATAGCCTGTATGCTATTGAGTCCTGTTAAATGCTGTGGGATCTGATCTTTACCTTGACCTGACACACCGTGTTTACTGATGTACGCTGGCCTTGTATGATTAATGCTACTGTGCAGAGTCTCTCTTCTGGCAGTAGACGCACTAAAACCTTTCCATTGTACAGATTGTTTCTCCAACTCTGACCTGTGAAGTCACAGTGGAGAGACTGAGCGAGAGACAGGACTGGCAGCCGCCGCTGTGAAGCGCTTGGGAGCGGCATAAATCGCTGCCAGAGGTATTGCACAGTGTCAGGGTGACCTGTGATGACTACAGAATATGTCGCGTTGCTGTCGTTTCCTGACCCAGACACAAGATGATACCCCCATTCCTGCAGCGGGCACAGTGGCAAGTGTGTGTGTGAACAAGGCGCCCTGCTAGGGTTACAGCACTCCAGACCACCAATAATGCACCTTTAAAATAATCACCCGTGTCAGAGCGTTGTCTAGGGAGGGGCGTCCCTGGTGCGGGCTCCTTATTGCAAGTGGCAGGATCAGAGGCAATGTATCAAAATGGAAGTGATGCAATGTGACATCTGTCAGGGTGGATTGGAGAGCATTTATCTGCAAAAAAAGGAAAGCCCTGAACTGGAAAATGAAAGGCCAAGATGGTCCTTCCTTTTGCTGGAGGGAGAATATAAATTCTGAGGCTGGATGAGGGGGGTGGGTGCGTTGGGGATAGGGGGAGGGGCCGGACTGCACAAATTTCTCTGAATGCTGCCAGGCCACATCTCATATACGCTCATGTATAGAGCAGGACAGTCACACACACACACATAGCACACAGAACCACCCACGTGAACCACACTCCATGTCCATGTTCTTTTACTTTGTCTGTAGCCCCCATGTTCAAGTAGGTGATGGGGTCTGACAAGTTTTGAATTAATGCATGACCTTTATCAATTTCATATGAGCTGCACTCCGACGATCACACTGTGAACAGCTCACACGTGGCATGTTTTAAGTACCACACTACATCCTTCCTTTCAGCTGGAAGATCGCTAACTGCCAAGTCAACCCCACCTCCAGAAAGGAGAAATATTTATAGGACACCGAGGATAACAGGATCATTGACAAACATATAACACGTGCCTGTGTGATGTTGAGCAAAAGCCATACAAATATATTTATATATATATATATATATATATTTATATATATATATATATATYTATATATACATATATATATATGAAAGACTATACTTTATATAAACTGTATTTTTTACAACAGTAGTATATATTAAGTCAGAGTTCTTTATCTGCAGCTGAGAGCGAGATGGAGTGGATGTTCTGAGTGTGCTTTGAAAACAAGCTAACCATGCATGAAAACACATCATCAATGAGATCTGCTCCACAATCTAGGATTCTGTTGCAGCTGCTCTCAGCTATAAATGCTACCTTGGGAATTCAGGTCTTGTGTTCATCGCCATTAGAAACATTATCTCATTTATCTGCAACACAGGCTCGAACAAACAAATTACACTCACAGTGCAAAACACCAGTCAAAATCACACATACAATCTAGGAAACCACCTGAATGCAGACGGTTAAAGATATCCCTTAAGACACTTTTAACCATCTCCTAACTATCAATATCAACTTTTACTTCAGGGCAGCTATTATCCAGATTAATGTCGTCTAACTCGTCTTGTGCAGAGAACCAAAAACCTTACAGTCAAAGTCAAGTAACTATCTTGAGAAATTTGGTCAATGTTTTAGGTGTATTTTCTCATAGTAATGATCAAATGAATTCTTGATATATGGCCAAATCCATGTTTTGTGAGGTCTCAGTGACCTCGGCCTTTGATGATAAAATCTAATCAGTCCATCTTTGAATCGAAATGAAGGAATGTGCCAGATTTAACAACTTCCTGCTACACATTCCTCACAAGAATGGGACAGACTGACTTTAGATATACAGACAACCCAAGAACAAAGTAAAATCTGCTGAGTCTCACAGACACTATTGCTATCCTCCATCCACTAACCACTGATGTACTAATCTCTACAAACAGTCTGCATGTGAATATGCAGACGGACAAGATTTTGAGGCCAGAAGCCTCCTGGTGTCTGTTTCTAGTTTGATCAATGATGTTTGAGCAGGCTTTGGTTCCCCGCAGGTAAACAGTCCATGTGGTGAGCAAAAGAGCTGCAACACATTAACAGAAATGCATCTGCTATTTAATCTTTTTTATTTATTTAATTCTACATTAATACAGACATCTGTTAATGGAGATTAGCCAAAATGTCATATGGACCTAAAACACCAAACAAAGATGTCATAGTGGGATAAAAGAAACTAGTTGGACTGTAAACAGTGCTGCTAGTTACACTTGAAGCCCCAAAATATTGTCTGTAGCCCTTTAGAGGCTGATTCGCCATCAGGAAGCTCAGAGATTGCTGATATACTGCATACATGTTATGCATGTTACTACTAACTTGCTAAACAGTGGCTATATTCTACTGTAGCTTCTGCTAACTGCTATTGCTGTTGTCCACTGCTAAACTTCCTTCATCTGTTTATTACTCTACTACAAAGCTAGGTAGACAGTACATGATATTCCTCAAAACCAAAGAAAAGGGGAAAAAAAGTCTCTCAGTGGGGTTTCCTCACCAAACTGCTTGTTTACACAGATTCTGAAACCTGAATCTTTATCCTGATGCTTCTTTACTGGCCCTTTGATCCAAGCATGGCAGTCTCAGATAGTCGCTGCAGAAACCTGGACTTGCTCAGCTGAATTCAGTCTTTGCAACAGTGCACTGCTCCTTTATATGCAATCCAGCCAAGGTATTAAAATCTGCCTCACCCATGCAGGACAGTACATGCTGCATAAAACTTCTCTGTCCACTGACATATTCCATATGTATGGAAACATACTGGAAGAGATCTCCACACCCTGCAGAGCACCACAGCGACACATGTATGGAAGCCTTCAGTTACATGTGCAGGTAAGACTGAACAGCAGTGGTGCCTCAGCTGCATTTAAACGTTTCTCTGTGGGGGATGATAAGAATGTTTGTGATTGATTCATGTTTTTTAGCTCAGTGAACTGAACCGTCAGTCTCACACAGAACATGATTAGTAGCAAACGCTGCTGTGGATGACTCTTTTCTCTTTTTGCAGCCTCTGGAAACTGCTCTCTGTTGGAGCTCCTCACATGTGGTAGACACTTGTTGATACATTTAAAGTAAGACTTTTTTGTTTACATCAACGTTGAGCTTATGCCGATAATAATACAATCCTAAATTGGAGCGTCTATCCGCTTTAGCATTTACAGAGAAATGTCATCATCTCAACAATTCAAGGTTTCTAATAACCACAAGGAAGTTAAGTGTGATAACTGCGGAGCATGCTGGCATTGAGATACATTTACAGCTCACTGTGGCATCACTGTATCCAACTTTACTGTGACACACCACTGCTGTCCTGAAACCCACCCCCCATCATGTTTAATTTACTCTGAGTTATTAAACAGATGCTTGTTTGGAATAAATGCATTGGAAATTAAACTCCAGAATAATGAAATGGCAGCACGCCGCCTGGTTATACACACTGAAGATTACTGGGTCCATTTGAACCCTTTCTAATCAATATAAGCTTTTCAGTGAGAGCGCATTGCCCTTGTGTGGAGTGTTTGCGTGGCTGCACACAAGCAAATTAAATCAGTAATATTTCATATCTCTAATCTTCACGCCATAGTTTGACCATTACAGCACACGCATGGCTAACAACGGCATTGTAATTCTTTACTTATGCACAAGCTCCTAATCTCCACACAGCACCCTCCTTTGTTACATAATGTTTAATTCCGCTACAAGTTTGAAGGATCTCCTGTCTATACTACAAACACACACACACATACACACACACACACTCCTCAGCACAGCCCGGTACGCTGGAGACTTATTACTGTATGTTCCATGATTACAATGCAGGCTGCCGAGGATTTTGACAGTGAAATGAGACTCATTGAATAGCAATGGGACAGAGTAGGAGTTTTGAGCAACAGGAGAAAGAAAGAAAAAGAGAGAGCCGGGTGAGGCGGTGATGTAGAGAGAGAGGGAGGGAGTGAAAGAAGGAGAGAGGGAGAG